CCGCCCCCTAGAGTCGAACACGACTGGACAAAAATTGTCAAGGGGAACCTTTACCTTTACCTTTAGGACATGCTAGAAAGTCTGTAGTACAGTTCCCCAAAGTATGCCTACATTTGAAAGTCTGTGAAAATGCATTTACAGTATTTGGGAAATTCACAGAAAAATACTTTTCAGTTGATAGGTCTGTTGGAAAGTGTGGGCATTTGAAAAAGTGATAAAAATGCCTACACTTTGAAAACAGAACAGAGATTTTTTGTGTGTAGATCACAAGGGGGAAATTGAAAATCTGGTGGAAGAACCAAGACAACACAAATTAAACAATGGAAAAATGAGAACACGAGCAAAATGAACTGTAGCCAATGCATCCCTGAAGCTCACTAACCCAACCCTCCCTAAGGTGACACCTTCCAGATGTTTTGGATTGCAGCTCCCATCAAATCCTTACCAATCCAACTAATAGTGAAGAATACTTCGAGCAGTAATCCAGCAGCATCTGCAGAGCTACACATTGCCTGCCCCCACTTTACACATTTCAGTGAAGGGCAAGCTAATGAATTTAAAACAATCCCACTAAGAAACTCTAATTATCCACATTTCCCACATGCAGTTATATCAGCTGCAGCATGCCACAGAATATATGAGAAATATCCCTTTGTGGGTAAAGTCTTCTGTGACTGGATTCTCTTAACCCTATCAATCCACCCCACACTGCCTGAAACACAAATGGGGAGGCAAGGGGCAGGTACAGGTAAATGAAGAAATAAACCTGAGAGAGGTAAAAGGAAGAGGGCAGAAAACAATCACAGGAACAGACAAGGATGGGATTTTTGGATTTCGTGGACTACACATCCCATCATTCCATATTCTGGGAGTTCTACCTTTTTGGAGAAATCCAAAAATACCATTTCAAACAGATTACAAAATGAAAATAGGAGCATTAGCTCTTTACATAACAACACATTCTGTTCATCTTGCTCAAATCTGCAGTGGGCTTCCAGGCACCCGAGGTGGCAACCTTCATGCTTCATGCAAGGCAACAAGGGGAAGCAGTATGAAAAGAGTAGTCATGACACCTAGAAACCCTATTGCTCTAAAGCTGGCAAATATCTGAAGCAAGAAAGCAAGGACCATTTGAAAGCATGGGAGTGGATAGCTGCATGACCAAGCCTCTTCATCCCCAACAGTCACCACAGATGCCATTGTTTGCTGCTAGGACAGGTCTCAGACTTTCTCATGCCTCAGGAGGAGCTCCACATAGCATCACTGAAGTGAGGGAAAGTATTTCTTTAGCGTTACACCTCCCCAAATTCCATACCCAGAATGGCCACTGCCATGTTGGCTGTGGAGTTCTGGGAACTTTGGTCCAAAGAAAAACAAATTAAGAGGGCCCCTTGTAGTATCCCTGTGGAAGACCTTACTGGTATTTATCAACGTTCTTTCTGTGCCTAAACTTCTGTTGGAAACCAGCTTTGCTCCTTTGGTATAAGTTCATTCTCTTCCTATGCCTCCTTATCTATATAAGGCTGCTTGGGAAATGACAGCCTGTTAATAGCAGGCACAATGAACAGAAGCTCAAGGTTAGCCATCTAGTGATAATTTTACCCGTGGTGAACAATGATATGCACATTTTAAGAGTGCCACACTCAAGAAACTGGCTCTATGGTGTTTCAGTTAAATTATCTATGCTTCAGTGTAGGGCATGTGGATGTGATTAGGAGGGTGACACTAAGGCTTAGCAAAAGAGCTAGCTGGTTGCTTTAGATACCAAACACAAATCTCACTTGCATATCTTGAGCTATCATTGTACTTTAATGTACAAAGATGATTTAATAACGATTTTAAAGGGCAGCCATCTGGTTGCATTTTCCCCGTTCAAACTGGAAAAGTAATTATTAGGCAAAATAAAACTACTTCTACAAATGTTCCAGTCATCACTACATTAGATACAATGAGGCCACAATCCTGTTTTAACTACAGAGTGTAAATGATCAATTATGCAAGCAGAATACGCTATTTTCCAAGCTGTCTACCACGTGCCAGGTCATCCCTTAGTTGTGCATTTTATTCTGTGACCACCTGTATGCCGGAACATGCAACAGCCTTCTGGAAATATGGGGGTTTTTTTTGGGGGGGGGGTTTGTGTGTGTGTGTGTGTGTTTTTTAAAAAAATAGGCTATTGACCTAAGAATGAATACTAGAACATGGAAAAACGTAAGAACTTCTTTGGTTTGGGGAGGCAATTTCAAAAGCAGCAAAACACATGCCTCCACGAAACAGAGCCCATTCCACCAGATGATAAATGGTTCTCTTCAGTGGGTGGGTATACATGGTCCCTTCATAAATTCAGAGATTCCCTTGGCTTTTGCACAGAAATGTCACAGACCTATGACTTACATTCCCTACTGCAGAATCATGAGCGTGGCGTGTGTACATGCATGTGTGTGTGTATCTATTACTTTATTAATTTTTCACTACTGTTATGTGCCCTCAAGTCACTTCCAACTTATGAAGACCATAAAATCAGTGACCTAAAAAAGGTTCTATAATTAACAGGCCCGCTTAGGCTTTGCAATTTCCTTTACTCGGTCAATCCATCCCAGATCTGGTCTCCCTCTTTTGTTGCGGTCTTCAACTTTGCCAAGCATTCCTACTTTTCCAAGTACGACAGCCTCAGTTGAGTCATTTTTATTTGAAGAGGGCATTCCGGCTTGATTTGATCTAGCACCCACTGTCTGTCGTCTTTATGAAATTTACATCTTGTTTTTTCTCCAACATGGCTCTTGGCCCTCTATTTTTTCCCCTTTAAACCCATGTAATGGGTTAGGCAAAGATGAAGTGACTTGCTGAGGACCACTCAGTGAGCTTCCTGACTAGTGAAGGATTTGAATCATTTTTAATTAAGTACTGTAGGAATGTAAATAGTTCATCAAGAGTGGCACCGAAGAGGTTATTGCCCTGATAGTTCCTGGGAACAAAATGCTGCAGTGTGAACTGCTAGACTCCCTTCTCCCAAACATTTGCTCTTTATGTCTGTAAACCTAACAGTTCTGCCAAGGCTTCTGACCTCTCTTTCTTGTCTGCCATTTTGGGCTACGTAAACAATGGCACTCAAAAGTTTCAGCATCAGAAATAGAGCAAATTGTTTTACCAGAGGTGCCTGGAAATGGCAACTAGCATCTATACATAGTTGTGTCTTGCACCTGAGAAAGGATGTACAGCATGTGGGACAGACCGAACCAGAAAAATCCCTGACCTCAAAGAACTATCCGTATTTAGGACATTCATACTGCCATTTGTTTTGAACCTATCAACAGAAAGACTGTTGTCCCAAGAAGGAACACTAAGCCTTCTCCTTTAACAGTAATATGCTCTTTATGACATTTGGTTGGAGGGAGATGGGAGGAAATATATTATGAATATGGCTGCCGCACAACTTCTGAACAAACTCAGAGCATGGAATCATAACCTTTTAGACTTTTTAGACCACAGTTCCCAGAGTTCCCTAGGAAACACAACAGGGTGAATGAGGAATTGGACACCAGCATATTTTAAAGGAATGTATGCCAAATGTTCTCCTCTTATGCATCCACAAGAAATTAATATACCAAGTTTCAGATACTGAAAGTTTTGTGAGCAACAGTCAAAACAAGCCATTGCTGTCTAAGCTCAGAAGTCATAGGGAACCACTTAAAATGGGAAACAGATGCTTTCAATCATGATACCATGATTTCTCATTAAAGGAGGACAAAGTCAGCAGATCACCAAATGGAGCTGAGGCTGCACCACACACCCCAGATCACCACCCAACTCTCTGCCCACTGATTCTCCAAAATCCCCCCTCAAAAAACTTTTCATCATGCAGCATGCATATGTACCCTTTAAGAGTCAATATGGCTTACCATGGATTGTGTTCCTCGTGTGGACGAGGTAGTAACAGGAGTAATAGTGATGGTACTTGTAACTTTGCTCGATCCAGGCCTTGAGGTGACATTATTTCTAGGAGAACGAAGGACAGTCCCGGTCATAGCCTCTTTCTCTGCTGCTACATTCATAGGTCTGACAGTAATCACAGGGCTTCCTCCCTCTTGCACAGCAGTAGGTGACCGCTTAAACTGAGAACCTAAATGGATATGAATTTTGTTATCCTCGGTTGTTATAATGTTCGTGTTGGCATTATATTTTCGGACTGGAGTTGGGACAGTTTGTTTTTCCGGCGTGACTCTAAACACAGCCCTCCCCATGGTCATGTCTTGTGATTCTGGGGACACCGTAATTTCTGCTGGTGCTGCAGAGGTAGACACGGTCATTATCTGAATTGGGGACACAGGCCTTTCGGTGAATGGAGACTTTGTGCTCTCTGAGGACTTCTCTCTGGAGAACGTCGTTATAGTCACAGGGGACATAGCTCGCTCTGGCCCCACCGGGCTCTCACCACCTTTCCCTTTTTGAGACATGACATTAGGAGAAGGAATTATGGTAATCCGTGGTTTCTGGTTTCCCAGCGTGGGGATGACAGTGGTACTCGAGAAGAAATCTTCAGCAGTTGGACTGGTGATCTCCAAAGTAGCTGTGCTATTCTCATGATCTGGGGTTACCCGAATATGAAGAGGCTGCCCCTGTTTGGGGGAAAGCACAACCTCCCCAGGACGTTCTGGACTGGTCTGTACTCTGGCTCCTTTATCCTGAGCTGCCTGAGAACCATTGTCTCTCTTTTTCATCCAAGGAATCCAGGACTTCCTCATTGTAAGCTCATTTGCTGCTGGTGGATATCTGTCGAGTACGGACGACCTCTCCGTGGGCTTTTTAAGCCCAACCTGCCGCAGGTTGCTCATAATATGGTTCTCCTCCTGAAAGGATTTCCTTATAAACACAGCAGGCGTTTCTTCTTCTGCTGCTTCACTACTAACTGCGTCCGTCTGTACTCCAGTAGATGTCACGGGTACGTCTACCATTCGCCTGCCATTCATGCTGGGCCTCAGGGCACGACTGTAGCGCTTAGACAGCTCAAGCTCTTTGGTTAAACTGAGCACCTCCTGTGTCATGGCTTTGTTTTTGTTTTCTTCTTCCAGGAACCTTTGCTGCAGGACTGAGTAATCCACTTGGAGCTGAGAAAGTTGGTCCTCTTTGTTCATCAGCTCATGAATTTTCTCTTTGAGAGCCTGGACTTCTGCTTTCAAGTCTCTGCTTTTAGCTTCTTCCAGCCGAAATCTCTGCCTCAGCTCTGCCTCCTGACTCACTGCCTCCCCTTTCTCAATTGCTTTGTTTTTAGCAATCTGGAGCTTCATTTCTTCCAGCTGCTGAGAAAGGAAGTTAGCTTTGTCCTGCTCAGTCCTAAATTTTTGCTCCAGCTGATCGTATTCATCTTCTGTCTTCATCAAGTCTCCTTCAACCACCTCCAGTTGCTTGAGACGCTTTTTCAGCCTTTCAATTTCCACTGTCAGTTCTTTAATTTTGTTATCCTCTTGTCCACTAAACCCCGGTCCTTTCCTAGCTCGACCTCTTGCTATTTCTCTTTCTACTTCCTCTATGCCATCAATTCTTTTCTTCAGTAGATCCACAGTACAGTTCAGCTCCAAAGATTTTTCCTCTTCACTCTTCAGCTTGCCAATTAACTCGTCCCTTTCCTTTGTCAAACTGGACACTTTTTCCTCCATTTCGGATTTCAACTTCAAAAGCTTCTTGCTTTCCTCTATCAATTTTTCAGTCACTTCCATAACTTTACTTTGCTCCACCTTAAAGTTTTTATTCAAGCTCTCAACTTTCCTCTCTTCCTGCTTTATTTTATCCACCATGTTTTTCCTTTCATCAACCAGCATGACAGTAAAGGACTTCAGCTTTGTCAGGTCATCTTTTAAGATCAATTCAGCCTTTTCCAGCTTAGTTTCTGAAGACTCCAGGTCCTTTACTCGTGTCTTCACCACCTCCAACTCATTGATCATGTCTTTGGTTAAGCTCTTTTCTTTTTCCAAATTCAAACGCAGCTGGGTGCATTCAGATTTGCTTTTAGCAAAAGCATCTTCAAGCCTCTCCAATTCCGACATCCTTTTCTGCAGCTTCTCCACTTCAAGTTTCAGTTCTTTGCTATGGTGCTCTTCCTCTTGCAGCTTCTTTTTAAGTTCTTTACACTGTGATTCGGTTTTTGTGATCTCTTCATCTTTACCTTCCATTTCAAGCACTCGTTTGCGGAGGTTTTCCACCTCGGCCATCAAACTGGAGTTCCCACATTCCCCTCTGGCTATTTTGTCTCTCAGTTCCTGAAGCTCTTCTTCAGTCTTCTGAAGGTTTTTGTTAGTTTCTTCCAGCTCCTCAATTCTGCGTGTTAAGCCAACCAACTTAAGCCTGAGCTGTTTATTGTGCGATTCTTGACTAGCCAATTTAGCAGTCATCTCCTCATGCTCTTGGAAAAATGAGGATGTCTTGTGCTCAAGTTCCGCCTCTAACTTAATGAGTTTCTGTCCATCCTCTTTTGCTTTGGATACCAATGTTTTATGTTTTTCCTCTTCTTCGCTTAATTTTTGAGTCAGATCTTGTATTTTCTGGGTTTGTTGGTCAAGTTGCTCAATGTGCATCTGTCTCTCATCCACCAGCATGAGTGCAAATGACTTGAGTTTGACTAACTCTTCCCTCAGCTTGTTCAGCCTTTTTGCATGTTCTTTATCTTTGCGGGCTTGGTAGATCTTTTCTTGTTCAAGCAGCTTCTTTAACCTGAGGAGAGAGAGAAGAAAACTTCCTTTACAAAACTTTTAGTTCCTCTTTCCTAAAACTACAAGTGTCTCTTGGCTCTTGTACAATGTGAGTCTGCCTGATGTCATAGAGCTGTCCAATATTGTGGTATTCCACTTCTCTGGAGGAAAAAAGTGGGTTAAAATTAAAGACATACATGGACAATACCTTTTCCTTGAGAATGATATAAGTGAGTCCATAGTTCCTGGTCAAAAAGTGCCAAGAGCAAAGCCTTCCAGCTCAATTAAATTCATTTCTAAAACTGATTTCAAAAGAAGGGTGAAAAATAAGCCACAATCATTTTACTGTAGTCCATGAATGACTGTTCAATGTAAATTAATGTATGCCTCTGCATGTTAAATCCTGGGGAGTGTGAGCATGAGAGTACTGTTGCTCTTTTGCCTTGCCTATGGTCTTCCCAGGGGAATCTGGCTGGCTGGTGTGGAAATGCCACACTGGAATAGACAAACTTCTGATCCACCACAATTCTTCTTATGCTACACAGATCCTGTCCACATGCATGCCATCTGGTAATACATCAATGTACAATTAAAACATTTTTTATATTTCTCCCCTTTCTTTAAAGTTGCTAGACACTGATGATGACTACACAACTGCACACCAACTTTGCCGCATTTGATGAGAGACAAAAAAAGTGAACCATGAACATTTGGGAGGTCTAGTTCAGATTCATGGGGGGGGGGATGTTGGGGTCTGTGCATATGTATAAAACTCTCTGGCTTGGTTCCAATTCAGGCACAAACTGTCACTTCAGATTCAGACACAAATCAGCATCCTAGCTCTTACGGTTGCAGCGTGACAATACAAAGGCAAAACAGATATTTTAAACACAGAAATGTCTCAAAACCTGCTGTTTGTATACAGGGATGACGTATGAGCCCTGCTGGATCAGACTGGAGGGGTCTAGCCCAGTATTCTGTTCATGCGTGTCTTCACAACATTCTCATCCCCCTGTGAAGTCAGAGCTTCATCTAAGACCTGAAAGGAAGATTTTCAATCAGACCCCTAGACCCTGGGCCAGGAGTGCAGCCTTAAATAACATAAAAACATAAACAGCATGCAAATATGGTTGTAGGTTTTTCGGGCTTTTTGGGCGTGTTCTGAAAATTTTTCTTCTTAATGTTTTGCCAGTCTCTGTGGCCTGTATCTTCTGAAGATAATCTCAGATTATATCATTTCTACAATAGATCAACCTTTCCTATAGTGGTTTAATTTTAATTGCACCTTGATTTGACATAAGCAAGGGTGTTGTCAGTGCTGTTTATTAGTTAAGGAAATTAGAGAACCAAGGAGAAAAGCCCCCAAATGCTCCAATCTTGTCATTACTATAGAGAGTTAAAATTGCTAGACTAGAGAAGATGTCCATGTGTGAGATGATAATGAAACTGCTGGAACCAAATGCCAGAAAGTTCTAGTCCTCTGGCGAGTCATGAAACGCACTGTGTGACCTGGGCCAGTCACTCCCTCTGAAGGTGAACTCCTACATTACAGAATCATCATTAGAAGACATTACTCCTTAATTGGTGTGAAACATCCTACTGTGACATCAGGAGCTTTTCACAATCCCACAATCAAATTCTCTTGTTTTGCTTAGTGATTGGTTATCATGAGGCAAATAAGGCCTTCACAGACAAGTATGACTGCTAAACAACAAAGGTCTGCCTGAATCACATGCCTAGAACACTAACAGAACTCAGTTTCTAATGGTGGGGCATTTGTAATGTATAGTTTGGCCCTCAGCATAAGCTATCTTAGAGTGTTATTGTAAGGATAAAAGGGGGAAGAAAACAGCCAGGTACTGCATGCTAACCTGTGCTCACTGGAGGAATAGTAGAATAGGTATGTAACAAATATAATAATCAGAATCATTATATCCTGTCAAAGTGATTACAATTTATGACAACTTGTGACAGGGTTTCCTTTGTACAGAGTATCAAAAGTGGTTTACTATTCCTTTCTTCTCGAGGTGACCTGGGACTGTGCAGCTTGCACTGGGCCATCCAGGCTGGCTCTACTCCCAGGAAGAACAGTGGGGAACTGAACTTCCAACTTGTGACTCCACAAATGGAGGAATAACAGAATACTGCTCGGACTGCATTAAGTACTGCACTGCTGACTTCAGGCCCTTTGAAATTAATTTGTAGTTCTCTTGAAACAGACACATTTATTATTCTTTTCAATAGCCCCAAATATTTCTCTATAAAACTGTTGAAAGTTGTTCATATAACATGTTCATGTTTCTACTTAGCAGAAACATTTTAAGACTCCCAGAAAATAATAATGTGATTTTATGACTCTGTCTTTATGACTTAACAAGTCAAGAAGTCATGGATTTTTAAAAATCCAAAAGTGATACACATCTAAAGCAGTGTCAAATTACTGCATAAATAATCAAAAAGAAAACTGTTCCACTGCAGGCTGTTAAATGTTACACAAAATGTTTCACAATCAAATGCATTGTGTTACCTAGAAGGCAATAGTAAGTTTGTAGTTTTGATTTACTTTTAGGTTTCACACATTTTCCTACATAGCAGAGTGCTCCATCCATCCAGGAAAATTGTGCCGTGTGAGCATGGCTCTCCTTCCAGTCAGCCTTGACGTAAATCACATGCGGGGAGCTATCCAGCATCGATTCTTCAGTGCTTTTACTGTGTTATAGCCCTTGATGGAAAGGTACTACACCCCTTGATATTAACTGCCATATTTTGCAAATGCTCAAGCAATAGATTTTCCATTTCCATGCAAAAGCTATTGCTTGAGCATTTGCAAAATATGCCATTGGGCGGTAATAGTTGCATGTCATCAACCACTTCAAAAATGATTAAAAGTTATAAATGCTTGACAATAAATACAGCTCTTTTCATCTTCACGTGATTTTCAAATTAAAATACTCATGTTTATTGTCTAATAATTGCTCAAATCCATGTGAAGTTCTTAGAAGGGGATGCATCCCCCCCCAATCAAAGGTCATAACCCAGAACACTAAAGGTGAAGGACTTTATACGTTCACCAAGAACCCAGAATCTACAGAGAGATCCCAATGCAGGGACTCCTCTGGATTTTTTTTTATTTAGCAAATAACAATTTGACTCTCAAATGATAATATAACAGCCAAACCCAAACCCAGTCTGCCAGAAATAGGAATCCCACAGCACCAGCGTTCCACTGCCATTGAAACTCTGTAAGAAATATGGGCCTGAAGGATCTTAAGGGATGACAAAGAGGGTGGGGGTTACTCCCTAAACCAATATACCCCTGGGGAATGGGGGAGCAACTCTAGTCATGCTTTTGAAAGGGTCATTCTTCCATAATTAGCCACACCACAATTGGAATGTGGAAAATCTTGAGATGTGTATCCAAATGAAAGAAACATAAAGGGGACAGACACCATTCAGAAAAGGATGACTGTTCATTACAATATGCATTTAGGTTATACATTAATACCTATCACTCCTGATCCAGATGGTGCATACAGAACCTTATATTCTTCCATCTCCTTAGCTAGAGGACAATGTGTAAGGTGAGTTTCTTTTATTCTTTTCTCCTTGGAGGTGCCCAGACAGAAAGGGGGTTATACTACCACTCTGTACCTGCTGTACACATCTGTCCCATCTCTCCCTGCTTTGTGTGTGTGTGCGCGCGTGTGCACGCGCATGCGTGTGTGTGCGTGTGTGTGCGTGTGAGTGAGTGAGTGAGTGAGACCAGTGGGGAAATGGGAAGGTTACAAATGGAAAATAACATCACCTGAACCCTTGTAAAAGTCTGTGGATGAGGTAGGATGATGGCACACTTAAAACCCTGCTGTAGAAGCAGCCTTCCTTCTTGTCCATATTTCTATCTAATTTCCTCCTAAGAGACTCAGACCTCTTATCAGGAGTCAGCCCCATTTAATAAACAATGTTCACAGGACCATGAAATATGGAAATGTATCTTGGGCTGTAGTGCCATCTTTTTTTTTTACTATTCCTTTCAAAATGGAAGAGAAGGTGATGGCAGTGGTTTGGTAAGTTATTTTTTACTTTCTCAATTCTGTGACTTAAGGAAATGAAACAAGTTGCAGTTCCTCTTCCTATAGAACACTTAAGGGTGGCAATGCCATGTGACAGCTTTACCATATTTGCTTAGCTATGCCGTACAACTGTATACACTGCACAAATATAGGATTATTTATTTATAACCTAAAACTAGTAATATTAACAATTTTGTTTGCTGACAGTATGTGTTTATTTTAATGTTTTTGTTCTTTTTAAAACCTTTTAACTTATAATATATCTTTATACTTTTAAAAATAAAAGTTTATTAAACACACAGTATATCTTTATTGAGATGTGATTTAGATCTCTATACTAGGCCAAGAAATCATTAAGTCAACTTAATACTTAAGCCATGTATGATATGCTTAAGTGGCTTTAGACGGTTCTCTCAAACTGAGTTTCAAATCTCCAGCATGGAAATAATCCTGCTATTTTAATTTATACAGTTGTTTCACTGATTTTGTTTTTTTAGAAATACTGTGTGAATTTCTGTGACCCACAGCATAACATTTCAATAATATTTCTTATAAATACATTAGTTTTAACGAGGTTTTATAGGATCTGGGATTTTGCAGCCACGATGAAACTGGTTATTATATAAAAGCAAGTGAAAATCAAATGTCTGAAAGAACATTTCTTGAAAATGTAAGTAGTTTTGTCCCATTTTGGAAATCCACATTTTAGAAAAATATTTAGCCTTTTTCTCCCTGCTTTGGTTTAAACTGATAATGTATGAGGAAGATCTCTTTTGTATCACTGTTAGTTCTGTGTCATCACCATTCTCGTCATCATTATAAACTTAAATAGTATGTGAACCAATTTTGCCCAATTTCTGTTCACTTTTTCTCACTGTTCACATACAGTTATAATTAGAGTGACCTGCTTTAAATTAGTTTATATCCCATCTTTCTTCCATCATGGGCTTGG